TTTGCCTGGGAGTCCTTGCGTCTACTCTGCACTGCCGCTCAGTGCCCCGTTGTGCAGGAGGATGCTGCTCCTTCAGCAGTCGTTTGGTATTTGGTTTTAGCCTCGTCATTTGATCTGTGCCCTGGTTTTATGTACCTCATGCACTCAAACTACTCTGCAGGCAGGCTCATTAGTGTCTTCAAGGGCTTTTCTTCTGTACTTGGTGCTATAGCTCTGGTTCTTCACAAAACCACCATGAAAGGAGAGGTACAACTATCTCAATTTTGGCCACAGCAGCCTGATGGTTGAAACATGCCACCTCCGCTGTGTTCCCTAGGACGCTGATGTTTCCATTTTCTCATGGTGATGGAAGCACTTCCTATTCCACAGTCCTCCTTCCACTGGCGTCAGTCACAGAGTGTATCAGCAGAGGGAAGGTAGCAGAGAAAATAGGATTCTTGCCTCACTGAACTCCTCAAGTAGTCTTATTTTAATAAGACTTTTATAATGTAAGCTGGCACTTGAGGTTGCTCTAAGCAAATGAAGTAAAAACTAAATTCCTTCATAAGCTAGAGATTCGATGGCTGACTTTGGACCTTAAAGGTCCTCTTCAAGGACATCTTAGTATTTGACCAAAGGGCTGAAGGGACCAGCACTATGGCACAGCAGGAGCACAGTTTAACTCTTGCCTTGCCAGGTATTTAGTGGCAGAGTCATAAAAGGTGATGTTACTGAATTACACCTTCCAGCTGTGCTGCCTGTCCAGCCTCAGTTGCTACCCCTCATGCTTATCAGCTTCTTATACACTCCACTCTCTGAGGACCTTTCCAAACTTCAAAAACCCAATTGCTGCTTCTGGTTCCTCACCTACATGCTCTCTTTCCTTGCCTGTTTCCTGCTTGTCCTGTCCCATCACCCCATCGGTGACTTCCTCAAGTCAGTGCCCAAAAATCTGTGAAGCTGGAGCTTTCCAAAGATAAGGTAATTACATTTTTGTTTCCAGAGAGATTAACACAGGTGGAGTTTTTTGGTTTTTTTTTTTAACCTCATCATCACTTGAGATTATTTTGATGAAGGTTTCACTAATAAGGGTTTTCACTAATGAGGATTTTCATAAAAATACAGTAGGCTGAAGCCCATGCTCTAGAAAATACCAGCTCAACCCCGGTTAGTTTTAGTTTTGCAATATTACAGGCACCTGAAAGCTTTTGTTTTCTAAAGAAAATATTTGGTAACCATTTCTAACAGAGGACACCAGTCAGCAGAGGCCCACCTTGCAGCTCAGCTGAAGGGGTTTGCAGTGGTGAATGTTTGTCACTGTAATTCCTCTACACATTATTTGGAGTCGGGATTTTCTAAAGCATTTAAGAGAACAGGACACATTCAGCCATTGCTGAATTTTGAATTAAAATGGGATTTAAACTTCACTGCTTGAAAATCCAGGTCTTAAGATTGCAGATAGGTACTTTCTCTGAGCGGACTTTCTATCTCACCAGCGCGTAAATAAATGTGGATACATTTTGAGGTGAAAATAATTTATATTATATTCATACTTGAATTCTTCATAATCTTTCACTGCTCCTGCCAGTGCTTCATACTAAAAAAGCATTTAATGCAAAAAGTCTTTTATATAAATCTAAAACTTTTAATACATATTCATAATAAGAACTAGTTGTGAAGGCTGTCATACCGACACAACGATGCCTATAAAGAGAGAGACAAGTTAACCAGAGACTAATTTTTATTGTGCATTTTTATGCAACAGAACAAATGGAACTGGAGGTATGTAGTAATAAAACCAATATGCAAATTAGAATCAACACCTGAAATAGTAAACTGTAGGTAACAAATGTCTTTGTAATTAAAAAATATTGACTGTTTAAAAAATTCTCTAAGATTTTATATTCTTTAAAAGAAATGTGTGTTGCCACATAGAAAACAATTCACACATCCTATAGAAATTGTCACAAAAACCTTACTAGTCTATATTACACTATGCACTTTTTTTTTGTACAATATATGATAAAGGTCTATCCCTAACCTGTACTTACCCTACACAGTACAATCATCATTAGAAAGTATTCATAGAATTAACTACACCATAACAATAAAAATATCAGGATTAATGGTTTTTTAATCACAGTTTCTCCACAAATATTTGTCATAGAAAATATAGCGAAGGCATGTTGGCACAGATGGGCGTGCGGTACTGCTACACAAAGTTTGAGAGAAGGCAGATACATAAATGACAGTAAGATTAAAGAGCGTGGAAGGATAAGACAAGAATCTCTATTCTCCTGGGACTTTCTGGAGTGACATGATAGATAGCAGCTTCCTTCTGTCTCAAGCCTGCTGTCTACATTCAGAGCTGGGAAGGGATGTGCTGACTTACCCGCAGTTAGGCAGTGTGCTTTGTATCTCGCTCTGCAAGGCTTATGTGCTATCTATTATTTCAGGTCCCATGCTATTATACCTAGTATCTTGTGGATGTTTAGACACTTAGATGCATATAAATTTATTATGCCTCATGAGCAAATTAACTGGAATAAGCTGTTGTGAAAGGTTTGGGGTTTTGTGGTTTTTTTGTTGTTTTTTTTGTTTGTTTCTTTTAAATGAAATGAGTGGGTCAAGAGTAAAGTGGCCATGATGGCAACTGAAAATTAAAAGCTACAAAAAGTTGTTGTACTCTGTTATTTTAGAACCAAACATGAACAAAGAAAAGATGAACTGGTGTCTGCTAATGCCTGTCTGTGACTAGGATTCATGTCACTGGCCAGTGCACGCAAGTAACTGAGGGCAAAATTTTGTTTGTAAAGAAAGGTCCGAACCTGCAAAGCCACTCCTAGTGCTAAAGTGGCTTTCATGATGAAACTATACATTGGTTATTTTGCACAATATGAAAGCAGCGGATCGTGAGTGCTTCCAGGACGCTGGCTACATTTTTACATTAAAAATAAAGCTAGGCTTACTAGTTATTTCAGCAAATGTTCAGGTTATCAAGTGAGAGGTCTGTCCAGTCCAGTAATTCTGTTCTGTGACTGTTAAAAATGAAGCGTTCCTATTTTTAACCTCTTACAATTAAACAATTGAAAGGAAACTATCACAATGTTTACAAAAATACAGCATGATACATATTGCTGTGGACAAATTTACAGTATAATGTTGACTCACACATTCTGACATGTTTTACCAAGTAGGTTCTGGCAAGTGTCACCACATTAAACACAGACCAGCAAGACTTACACCATCTGAGCAATGTAACATCTTCTATTATAGTTCTTTTAAAAAACGTGTAAGTTCAACACTGAAAAGCTACTATAGGATAGCTGTACCGTGACATTTCTATACACCGAGTTTCTCCTCCATAGGCCATCACGCACTGTTGTCCACTCTAAGAAGGTCACCTCCTGCCCATACTAAGGGATGCTGTCCCAAACCCCTTGACTTGGTGAGGCCCGGCGTGGCCAAACTGCTCATTCACTGCTGGCAAATAAATGAGTTATTCTGGGGCAAGTGAGTGCCTTTCAACCTCCTTTTAAAAATCACCAAAATTAAAATGAACTGAGAGGTATTGGATGTTTAAGGGTGTAAAGCGTGCCCCGCCTACACCTGTGCATGGTGGAGACCATGTCTTGAGACACCTGGTGGGCCAGCCATGAGAGACCCGGTCACAACCACAGGCAGAAAGGAGGCAGATGGTGGAAAGAAGCTGTCATGGGGGCATGATGACCTTTGAGAGATCGCCTCAGCCCTCCATCTGCAGTCAGGCTGGAGCTAAAGGAACACTTCACCCCAGAGGTCCCTTCCTGATCTTTGAGGAAGAGCCTTGGGTGCCTCCTGCCCTGCCCAGAGCACAGGGAGAAGGTTGGGGAGGAGAGGAAAAGGGTAAGAGGAGCAGTTAGTAGCTTCTTTCGTGGCTCACACAAGGCAGTTAGAAAAGCTGGGGAGTATGAGATAAGCATTCAGGAGAGTCAACGCTGATGAGGTAGCACTAAGGATGGTCAAAAGCAAAGTGAACTTTCTTTCCCCAAAACCAGTTCCCTGTACCTGCCAGTGGGGAAGTGTTGCCTCAAGGAGAGGTGGTTCAGGCTGTGAAGGATGCCACCATGGGCCTGAGCAACCAAAGGCATGCAGAAAGGGTATCGTTTCTTTGGCATTGTGTATTTCTGGAGCGACAACAGGCTCCTAAGCCTTTAAAATTAAAGATTTTCAGGGGACTGATTTATTTGTTTTTTAAAGTTGGTATCTGCTTCCAACGTTGTGCACTGTTGTGAATTCTGCTCTAGCACAGCTCTTTTATTACTGCTCTTAGCTAGTCTGGATCCCATGTTTACTTAAAACAGCAGGTTAAACTAGGCTCTTCTTACCCAGCCTGGCCCTGAAAGCAACACCGAGCATTTGACTGTTAAGACCAGCACATTGCCTCATCTATTTCAAGAAATGGATATAAAATACAGATGAAAGCAAACCCAAGAAAAGGCAATTTAAAGCCTCTAAAGCTACATAATACGGCTGAAGAATAGGAGCATACAAAGCAAAACGTGTCTTCTGAAATGGCAATTTGTTTTTAGCAATCTTGTTTTAATGAAAACTGTCATGATCAACTCTAATACCCTAGGAATCTAGATGAATATAGTGCCTATCTGATATACAAAGCAATTTTTATCTATTAAAGTGCCTGTTATTGTTCTGGGTCTTTGAAGGATTCTGCTGTTGACGAGTGCTGCTGTTTACCTGGGAAGCTTAATTTCCTGGCAGAGTTGGCTAAAGGAAGTCCCTGTATTTTCCATCTTGTTCAGTACTTCAAGGTAACATTTATAATTATGCTATTTTCTGTTAGGAAATGGGAGGCCACTTCTTTCTTTGTTATAAGCGTGCAGACTTGTTCTTGCATCTCCTACTCAGGGAAAGCAAATAGTACCCAGCTGTTCCGGGTCCAGACCTGGGCTTGTTATCAATAGGCAGACAAGATAGTAGCTGCTGTTTCTTTGTGCATTTTTTTCATTTTTAAATGACCTTTCCTCTAGAACTAAGTGAAATGAATTGCAATTTCCTTTTCAGGGTGCCATGAAGGATTTGCAAATAATAGGCACTGAGAAGTCCCACAGAGCAGATCTCAAAATGGATTTCTGTGTTAACTGGGGCATGGTAGGATAGAGAAGCTGAAATGTATGCAGTATGTATTCAAACATGCTTTGGACTCTTAAATGACAGCAGGGTTAAGTGTGTTTAACAAATAGTCTCTCCTAAATTAAGTGGCTGCTACTGTTGTATGAGGTTTTTTCTTCTCACTGCCATCAATCGCCAGACCCGTCTTGCATGCCTCTATTGAAGACTTCGTCCTGTGACCCTGGATGGTCAGTCCCGTCGTAATATGAGTTCCCATTGTGAAGGAAAGTCCCCACCGCACGCCCTTGACGAGCGTGTCCTACCGCATCGCTGAATACCTTGTTTATTTGCTCTTCAGATGGCATCCACCAGTCCGGGTTGGAGGTACAATGCATCCTAATGAACTCTGCAGGAAAACATCCAAGGGTAAAAAACAACTTGTCTTTGCAGCATCCGTTATTGCCAAAAGCACTGAAAGCTCATGGGAACTAAGAAAGGGGGTATTACTGCTCTACTTAAGCAGAAGTAAATCCTTATGGGGGATGCCATGATAATGCCACTTGGACCTACTTTATTTCTGTACAAGTGTGTTTCTCCACATGCAGTGTATGTTGTTATACCTGAGATAATTATGTGATGTGTGGGACCTGGAGATTTAAATCCCATCTTGTGGAAACACAAAGAACTAACTCGAAGTGATGGTCGCGACTCAGTGTGTGCAACACACGCAAAAGTTAACATGAATCAGGATGTATTTCGTTTGAACCTTGTTGCGTTTTTATACCTTAAGTGATCGCTCTCCTGGACCGATCTCTCTCCCTCTGCTGGCTGCTTCACCAGCTGCAGGCTGCACCAGCCCGCAACCTGATTTAAAGTGTCACCACCACTATTTCACTTTGGGGCTCCTTTCTGTTTGAAATATCTTTCCGTCTCCTGAATCTGACACTTATTTCTCAGAGACTAAATGGGCATTAGGAACGGCTAAATGAGATGAGAGGGCTAATTTGGGGAGCCTTGCAATGGTTTTCAATGCAAGAGAAAATGAGTTGTACTGCCTGTAATTCCGCTATTTATCTGCTGCTTCCATATACAGCTATTTGTATGTGATGATTACATTTTTTTTGTAATTTCTTTCTCAGATTCTTTGACATGCAATATGCTAAACCTGCAGAAGGTGCCTTTCCTATTCTGGGTTTCTAACTGCTAGACGTAGCTCAAACAGGTTTATTTGGACTTTGAAATGTCCAAATGTGATTTTAAATGTGAGGGTACCTTATTAGATATATTGGATACACTGTACCTCATATGGAAACTGAACTTCTTATTTATTCTATAACACTAGTTATTCCCTCATGCAGTATTGTGTGTCCCAGGATATTTTAAAATTCTATTTCCTACTGTTGACAAGCCAACAGCACAATAAGTGGCGTAAGGTAACTTCATTACTGTCACCACATCTCGAGACCAGGGAAGGCTGTGCTTTTACGCGAGTTCCCATGCCTGCAAGGTATCTCATCTGCTGGACAATTAGGATGTGATTTTTGCATAGCTCCTCCAGCGGTGTGTCTGCAATAGTGATAGCTATCTTGTTTTTAAATTCATTTCCCTGGAAATCCACAGGCAACAGTAATTCCTACCTAGTTATGTTCTCGCAGGGCTCCACAGACCAGTGTTTTTCTCATAGAAATGGTTACCACATAAAGGAGTAATGCTATAATTTAAGCTGGTTTTAAAGCTGGTTCCAGACATCAGTCAGTTGTAGGAATATATTAAAAATGTTTATAGATGTTTGAACTACTCTGAATGCAGAGAGAGCAGCAGTTTGTACTCGCTGCTATGACAGGAAGGTGTAATAGGATGTGCTGAGAATTAGTCAGACACTTATGACCTTGGTTTGCAGATGGGGAGGAGCCTGTGGCCAGCTCTTGGCACCAGAGGAAGTTGTCATGTTCCCACCTACTCATGAAAGCCCAAAGGGACAGCTGTCTACACTGTTTTCCTTAACTGATCCTTAGATACTCATGTTTTGGCTTCCTCTTCAAGCTTCTGAAAATTAAGGAAATTGGCCTTTCTCTTTCTCCTAAGGAGCGCTCTGCGTGTTCTGTATGTCCAGGAACCCCAGAAAGGAGAGTGGCCATAAGCAAAAGTTGATCTACAGGTGGCTTTACAGTAAAGTCTTGGTGGAAGGCAGGGGGAAGAAAGGGGAAGAAAACAGTATTAGCACTCTGTTTGTGCATAAACTATTACGTGAACTTTAAAGTAATTCAGTAAATGGTTAATACACTTGTATTCAGCCTTCAGTTTGCAGGAGAACTTCTGAGACCCTGAATCTCACTCCAGACCTCTCTGCAGCACAGTGTGCAATGGACTTGCCCCTCTATTAACTCTGACAGAGTATCATGCAACAGGTTAACAGGTTCCTTTGCGGCAAAAAAAGGAGCCTCTTTGCCTAATTTGGCTGTATGTAAAATCTGAGTTCATAACCTGGTTACATCAGCGTACCTCAACTATAAGTCTTATCTACTTGGCCTTGTTGGATTCTTCTACCCTATATGGGAAGAGGTTCTGTCTGATGTATAGAACCAGTCTAGACTCCAGTTGGATGACTAAAGATAGTTTTTTGCTGACTAACCAAAATATGGCTTTTTACACTAGTAAACCATTACTGAAGTCAGTTCAACCGAAATCTGTTGTATGTGCTCACAAAATACTATAAAATTACCTATAAGTTAATTTAAAAAAGGATAAGCATTTGCATTTACAAAATGCAGATGCTGATACTACAGACACTTTTAAATGGGTTTTAAAAAGCCCTATTCTGTATGTTTTCTTATAAAGCCCAGTACTAGGCCTCTTCAACAATTTTAGGAAACCAAAGTATAAACTGCCACAACAGACAACTCTCAGACTGGACCCTTTCTCTGTATTGTCCAACATCCTTGGTCTCTGACGTCGTGAAATGCTTGTGAAACTCTCCCTCCTTTCCAGGCTAAATGTAGGGGAAAGTGCTCCCTAACCTTTCAGTCCATGGTGCACCAGTACTCCAAAGAAGAAGTCAAATCTTTGACAATTTGTTTGTATACACTTTGTATGTAACTAACCTGTAGAGTTCTTGGCCTCCCAAATGTTCAGACCTATTTTGAAACCCTTTAGCTTTTAACCCTTTCTGAACCCCTATTTCTGAACCCTATTCTGAAACTCTTTAGCTTTTAACTTGATGCGTGGTGGCCTTGAGCACCATATGCTTACTGCATGTTAGGCTATAAACATTCCTTTGGTTAATTTTGCCATATATTGCTGTTAATGCCCGGTTAGATTATTATAAAAGAGTATAATCAGGACTGTCTGATTTTCCTTCTTTACTGTTTCAAGTATATCAGTGTTAGCCCTTTTATTTGTCGCCTCTCTTAAACAAGCAGCCCTGTTTTCTTTTCCCATTAAAAAAAGCCCAACACATATATAATACACACATACATATATATATATATATATATGTATGTATATAAAAAAACGAAGCGGAGGGTTTCTGGCTGCTCGTCACCTGCCTGTGAAACCCCTTCTAGTTCTGCAACCGCCAGCCAAATGCTTCTACTGAGCCAGAGGCAATGTGGTGAAATGAGATCACATATGGTGGACACTGAGCGAAAAGATGCAGTACCTCTGAGACATGTTACTTTTACTGGATCCAGAGGACGTCTTTCAGGACCTGTCTCTCCTGACTGCACTGACCTTTTCCTTTTTCCAAGGCCGCATGAGTACTTAAGCTCATCGGTTGTGAAAACAAATCTGATGAGATAGCGAAGGAGCCGTCGTCCATCTTTCTTGGAAGAATTTACAGCCTCATCCCACTGTTTACTAGTGATGTAGACAGGGTAGTTGTTCAGCAACTGCTTGCTCCCCTGAAAAAGTGAAATATTTCCGTTGCTTATTTTACAAGGCAAATAAATAAAGACGTCAGTTGCAATAAAAAATACGCTTTTTAACTAGCTATGATACTGACAGTGACACACATCCTGCAAGTGAACGCGTAATTGCTCTTACTGAGACTGAGTACTTTTAAAATTACATTTCCATTTTCTAGAACACAGAGCTGGTGAGGTACAAGGAATACATTTTGAGAGGTGGCTATTCAAAATTTCCATTTTAACAAGCAGGTTAAAAAGAGTTAAGAATCAGTGACTGGGTTTACTGTTTAAGTATAACCTTTCTTCTTAATCTGTTAAAATGCAAAGAAAAGGGTCTTTGAAGAGCGTGATCAAATGGATCACTTCATCGCCACTGACAGTTTACTTCAGAGGTGAGTCTTTTGGTCTATTTTTATAATAAATTTATTACTTCTGTAGAACACACCTGAAACTTGACAGCAGTTATGTTACTGTGAAAAATGTAAAGAAAATAAATAAAGGAAATATGAAAACTAAAAGCTTCATTATTATTAATGAATGCCATATTAACTCAAATTATAGCCTTACATAAATGCCACCATGTCAGCTGGAAAGAAATTTTGCTTTTAACCTTCATAATTTATGTGCTTCAATATTCCAGCATTAAATGAATGCTGTGGGACTAATTATGGGGATTCCTGTTATCCACACAACATTTATAGGGCCTCTTTAGTCAATTGTACCTAAATTGTGTTTAATTCTTGTTGCCCATAAAATGCTATAGTTCAGGATTACCCAATTAATGTACGATGGTACTGTTAATATACTTGAAATAACTGAAGTACACAAAAACCCCAAAACTACACCCTCCTAGAGACTCATTCATTTTTACAGCTACACCTCTTTATTAATAGACACGTACATCTGGAGCCCAATTAGTAAAAAATCTTCACAGAGCCTCCAGCTTAGATAGAAGCTCACAGTGAACTGGAGACACAAGGATCTGATGCTCAACAGAGGCAACCAGCTGCACACCACCCCTGTGGGCAACTGTTGCAAAGTTCTCCACCTCGCTTCCAGATCTTTGGTATCTAAAAACTATTTTGAGGGCTACCCTTGCCTCGTTTCATATATTTATTATAGCATCCTTGGGAGCATCTTTGAAGTTTTTCCTCAGGAACTGCTTTTCATTTTTTTAACAAGTTTGATAAGTACATGGAAGGCTGAATTTAGTGAAGAGCGTGATGAGGGTGTCATTAGACAATCTATGTGATTTAGGGTACCAGCACCTCCCAGGTGGGGTTAGCATCACTGGGAGTGGAGCCTTTGTGACTGTTACTTGTTCCCCTCGGTGCAAACTGCTGGCAAAGACGGCTACAAGCAAATCCAAAATTCTCCAAAGGAAGCCCAAACATAAAGAGATGGGTTTTGTCTTTCTGAGGGGCCCTTCCCTTTGCTGCAAAACATCTAAACTCTTTATTGCCCCTGTAGCTTGTACATCCAAGCCTGTAATCCCTAAGAGAAAGACTCTTCTCCTCTAGTTCAACTCTGTCACCAGTTTCTCGTTGCACTTCACTTGTCTCCTCCTACCACTGCAAAGGGGCCAGGGCCAATTCCTCCCCCTCCACTCATGATACAAGAAGCAGCTTTAATTTTTGCGATGTACATGCAGCCCCGGGAAGCCACTAATATGTCAGAGGACTGATGCCATGGAAAAAACATTATCCGCCATCCAGTGCAGCTCCTCATCCTCTACTATGGTACAGGGACTGGAAAGGAAGAAGAGCTGGAGGAGCAGCATGGAAAGCTCTTTGGGGGTATTACACTCTTATGCTGAAGCAACTGTGACCACTCTGTCTCAGAGGGAGCTGACACTGTTATTTCCTTGGCTTATTCCACCACAGAGGTAACACAGAGGACCATCTCATCCCCATGCTGGTAGCTATTTTCTTCAGCAGCTTAGCTCTACATTCCTTTTACATAACGCAAATTATTTCTCCTACCTTAGATTTCTGAAACCTTTTTTTTTTTTTGTCCTTTTAAAAAACTCGTAGTGAAGCAAGGGCTCTTCTTCCTGATCCCAGTGCAAAGTACAAGCTGCAGCTAACTCTGTAGGCACTGCCTTGCTTTTAAGCCCTACCAGGCAGGAGCAAGCCCACAATGGCACAGGGCAAGGCTCCAGGCTCGCCCAAGTGTGCTAGGGATGGATGTTCATATGTGGCTTTGCTAAGTGTCAAGCTCACCTAGAAGCTACCTCTGTGTTTAAATGTATTGCACGGATGGAAATTGGATGCAGAAAGGCCCAACATCTAAATTTCATGAGAGCTCACATTACTACTAACTGAGGAGAAGGTAAAAAATTCTGTGTAATTTCCTCAGCCCCAAATTTATACTTCTTATTCCCCCTGAAATTCAGGATATTTTTCTTCATTCTTCTCCAAAGGCATGATATACTGTGATGCTACTCTGTTAAACAATTACTGGGTTCCTGCTACAGATGCACTTTCATTACTTCTCTGAAAGTAAAGCACTTCTGGGCAAAAGATTCTCAGTAGATATATGTTGCAGTTTGGTGTGTCCAGCAGTCATTAAACTAAAACAAACAGAAAACCTTCCAGAAATGAAATAAGCAGACCCTGAAGGAAGAACCAAAGTACAAATGCGTTCATGCTTGTGTTTGTACATGATTAAACTTATGAATAAAAGATTAGCATCTATGTGTTTAATTGAATAAAAAATTCTGTCACATCATGACAAGCTATTCCATGTGTCAGTTTTTACAGTGCTTGAAAATTTTAGCTAAGCAAAAGACCATTAAAAAAAGGAAAATGAATGCTTGGAGTACATTTGAGTGATAACAGCTAATGACATATACATAAATATAAATATATATGCGTATATATCAATTTGCACAGGATAAATCTGAATGGGGGAGCAAAGTGATGCACAGTCTAAACTGCTGTAAAGCATCTTCAGTGAAACTAAGGTAAATTGGATTACGTGAGGCTTGCACTATGTATCATTTATGTGCAAAGCAAGGTCAGAGTAGACCTAAGTCTTCCCTCTTCTGATTTTGTTTGCATGAATAATGGGTAGTGACACACATACGCTACCTATATAAAAATACACATAGCAAGAGCCTCGGATACAGACAACCTTAACTAGAAAAGTCTCAACAAAACCATTTAATTTGAAGCATTTTTACAAGCCTGGATAGAAACACACTGGAGCAAAATTAACATGAGTTACACTAGAGCTGATAGATAAATCTATACATCTACCTTCCAGGGAGGGGAAGGACTTAAATTTCCTGCTTTTCCTCTGCAGCACTTTTAAACAGATCATAATTACAAAAATCCCCAAACTCCGTATCAAGTATAAAATTGTCAACACTCAACATTTAGTTTGGGATGCTTTCTGAAAAGCAAGAGCACTCCAAAGACTTGCAGAAGTCTGTATCTGCATCTCTCTGCAAAATGAAGGAAACGTGTTATTTTAGTGTTAACCATCTCGGGGCTGTGTTAGAGCTGCACTAACTGCACACACGTACGTGCCTGTCCCCACACACATGATGGGTCAGTGCTGCAGCCCCCGTCGTAAACCAGCAGTCACTGTCAATCACCCAGTTTTCACCAGGCTAGCCCTACCCTAAATTCTACCCACAAAAGGGATGCTTCTGAGAAAAGCTGAGAGAAAAATTACCCAAAATAATGCAAGTGCAGCTGCTGGTGATGGAGGGTGCTACACAGCAGCTCAGTAAAGTCATCCTAGATAATACTAGTAATGAGTCTCCTCCATTCGGGGGATCACCGTACCTAAGTGACAGTTTAATAATAGATTTTACAACTAAATGTATTATTCCAGGGCCTATTGATGTATTTGCCTAGATGTTTTCAATGAATTGTCAAACACAAAGAGATACAGCTTGTCTTCACTGTACACTACCTCAGTCGGATGGTCTGCTGGCTGTGGTACCAGAAGCTGGTTGTGATGCTGAAGAACAGTCTTCAAATAATCTAAAACAGTCTGGCAGGGCACTGCATAAAACAAATTGCAATTACCGTATATTAGCTATCTCGCACAAAATAGAACAACAATATTACATCAAGCAGTGTTCTTCAGGATCTGTTTTGTACTTCTGTGAGGTTTATTTCAAACAGGAAATACTTCTCATTTTGACTTGTGCAGGCATTTCATTCAATAACTATACGACAGATGTTGTATTTCCTGTGTTGAGATCTTTGACGTTGCTTTTATTTTCTGCCCACTAGTTTTTAAAAGTTTTTTTTTTTTCTGGTTTGAAATTATAATTATTACAAATACAAATTAGGCCAGCAGAAATTATAGTAAGAAAAAAAAGTGTAAATATTGTAAACAGCCCAAACCATACAAAGGAGAAAACATTTCTTGCACCTAAATCATGCACTGATTAACATGTAAATATGCTCAAATGTTTTTGAAACTACAGTCTGATTAACTACACTGAACAGATTTAATGATTCATATACTTTATTTTCCCTCCCTCCTCCCAAATTTGTTATAAAACTAGGTGTTAAGCAAATTTCTTCATTTATTTAAAAATCCTCCCCCCTTTTCCATTCCCATCACTCTTATCCATTTCAGCAGTGGTACCAACATCCTATTCCCTTCCGCTGGGGTGATAGGTTAATTAGGGATGATTCAATTATGGGTCTCTCTTAAGCAGATGTTGCCACATCCCTGATTAACTCTGGAGTATTTTTGAGATACAGTGCTTTTCTCCTGAGCCTGAAACACCGTAGGAGGATTAAACAGATATTAACCCAACATTACAACTGACTCGCGCAAGACTAAATAAACATCGGTTTTTAAGGTACCTCATCACTCCTCGCGTTTTATATGGGTTGTTTTTGCAAAATATTCAGAGATTATCTTAGCTTCAGATAAAAAGCCAGTGTTCCTTCTTTTTTTCAGTATTTGTTATTATTTCTTGGAATTGAGCCTTTACACCTAGAGAAATGAGGTGTTTTGGGCTTTGTCTTAAGCTGGCAATCTGAGAGCAGGCACTGAAATCACTGAGAATGTCTCAAGGTAGGATTTACAGGTATTTTGCATTCACACTGTACAGCAACTATGCCCCTGTCTAGGCAGACAGGGTGCAAAACACCTTTACCCCGTGCAAAACAAGACTCTTTACGAAGGGCTAGGCTGTATTACACCCAGCAGCCTGCACACAGCGGTCACGCAAAATGCCTGATACCAGTAATAAATTCCTATGGCATTTCACCCCATGCTGAATTCTCCGTAAAGATGACCCACCAGTGTATTTAATTCTGTTTCATTCGATACAACACATTTTGCTATAGGAGGTTGTGTTTTAGGGAAAAGTGAGCGTTTCAAGCGGCTTGTACCTGTTTTATTGCTCCAGTGTCTTTACTGCTTATTTCTAGACTAGGGCAGTGTCTTGGTAGTGTAGTATCATATACTGCCACATGAGCAGGACAGCCTGGATGCTTTTTTCTTTGTAGGAAAAAAAGCACTTTTAAGTGTCATTCCATGGTTTCAGAAAACACTACAATTCTGAAAAAGTCAGAAGGGCAGCCAAGCTTTATAGTGCCACCAACATGTTCTGTGGCTTTCCTGTAATATGATGTTTATTTAGCATATAGCAGCAATCAAAAACAACCACAGGTAATCATAGAATCATAGAATGGCCCAGGCTGGAAAGGACCTTAGAGATCATTTAATTCAACCTCCCTGTCATGGGCAGGGACGCCACCTCTCGACTAGATCAGGCAACACATGGGGACCAAACAGTAATATTTTAGTACACTGGATATTTTTAAGAAGGTGTGACAAAAAAAAGGATTTGGCTTTTCCCCTCCGCCTGTTTTTATATATAGGAAACATATGTGGGATTTTTATTTTTTTTTCTGTGTGGATGGGCTGAAGGATAAGATTGTATTTTGAGACCCTTTTCTTACACCGGGTGTATTTGCTGTCTGGCATGTCATAGAATCATAGAACGGCCTAGGCTGGAAGGGACCTTAGAGATCATTTAATCCAACCTCCCTGTCATGGGCAGGGACGCCTCTCAGCTAGATCAGGCAACACATGGGGACCGAACAGGGATCAAACCCGCGACCTTGGTGTTATCAGCACCATGCTCAACCGGCCTCTTATGTCCAAAAGGAACATTAAACTAGCAATGCTCATGCACGGGTCACTCTGATTAAGTAGATGTTGAAAAAAGAGGCAGAAGGATCACGAAGGTTCGAGTGTCCAAAACCCTGTGACAAGGTCAGCAAAACCTCCCACCTGGGTGAAAGGATCTCCCATGAGATCCCAGTACCTCCTGCGAGGTGACAGTAAGGACGGAAGGGGCTATGCTATGATGGGTGGTTGTACTACTGTCTGAAAGACACTCGATGCTTGGACTTGGACCAGAGTTGAGTGATACTTGGGACATCAGAGACTCTTGCGATGTGCTCCCTCCCTGTCCTGTCTGATGAGCAAGCTCACCAAGGACACGGTTGCCAAAGCATCATCAGTACCTGGAAGTTTTAGACTTCTTTGGTCCCCACGAAGCTTGTGCTCAAAACAGCCTGTGAAGCTGGCGCTTGCTTTCCTGGTTATCTCTACTAACAAAAGTCCCTGGTGATGACCTGATGGCTCTCAGCCCTACTTGGTACTACTGCCTGCAATTATGTGGAATAATGTGGGGCCTGAAAGGAAACAGGACATTATGTATCAATAATTTATAATTTTTTAGGAGCTGATCTCACAGCAGGATGGTATTTTAGCCACAGTACGTCATTTTACTGCAGGATATCCAAAGATCTACCTACGTTCCTCCAAAGGGATGGGACACAAGCGAGAAGACAAAAGGAAACTATTTAACCCATTGTGTCCCCAGCAGATGAAGTACAACTCTACTTTAACTGTACTCTGCTGATAAAATGCTTTCTCCTTACTGGTGAGAAATATGAAGGTACTAAAAGCTGGCTGAAGCTTATAAATACTTCTATCTTCACTAAAGCAGTAATGTTTCTAGCAAAAGCTCTGTGATTTTGTTATCACTCCAGTGACTGGAGGACTCTTGAGCACTTTTGACCTGTAAAGCCATCGTACATCACAGTTTGCTGCTGGTGCAAATAATCTCAGCCTTTCAAACACCAGATGCTGCTTGCAAAGCCAGGCTTCTTGGGCTGTGGTATTAACCGGAGCCTAAGGGAAGCCACAAAGCCTAAAGAAAGCACAAGGCCAAGAGTCAAACTTTTGGTTTTGCTTCTGTGTCCCTCTTACAGCTCTGAAAATATTCTTTGCCAAGAGGTAAGAAGAACTGTTTCCTCCCAACTCTGTGGCAAACTTACCTTTGTAAGAGCCTGTGGCACCCAATGATGAAACATCATTTAAAGCTACTAGCTTATTTATTTTCTATTTGACTTTGATGTGGTCTCTAGAGAGTTAACAAGATCCTAACCCCATGAGCGGATTCTCTGCAGGCTTACATTACCACTGACAACACCAACTGGGGATCTGCGCCTACTGTAACCAGTGGGAAAGATGCTAATGTCAAAATAACACTTGGCTGCAGGGAGGCAGTAATTTCCCTGCCCATTAGGAAGAAGTGCCAGAAAAGACACTGGAAGTGGCAAAGTAACCTGGCCTGGAGGGAGCAAAAAAAGAGTGAGATCTTTGCAGGAGCTAAAGGAGGTGCTCCAGGCACTTGGCATGCTGGGGAAGGCTGGTCTTCCTAAACATGCCAAGCAGTGACTAAGCAGGACGCACGTAAGAGGTGACAGGTCTTTGTTGTTTATTGATCCAGGTTGGAAGACTTTGCTGTTATTCTAGACATCTGCATGCTGGAACAAATGCTGCTTCAGTGTAGCTTGTCAGAGCCTTCTCTGCAGAATATCCTAATTTCTAATAAATAGTTGAATGGTGTGGTAGCCACAGACTGTGCCAGTGACAGAAGCCAGGGTGTGATCGCTCAGTCTGACCTGTCACCCAGCACAACAGCCTCCCCAGACTAAATCCTCTTTGCACCAGACAGCATCAGCGTGCAAAATACAGAACAGTTCCAGTCATCACCTCCCAGCAATGCAGTTTCTACCCTTGGCTCGTTGTTACAGCATGTGCTATTTCACTCTCACAAACATACACCTTATTTCAAGTCTGCATTTTGTTTTCCTTCGACTGAGTTTTATAAAACCTTTGGAAACAAAACAGAAAACATCCATCACCTGTTACACACTTATGGTTAGTGATAAAGCAATTTCTCCATCTTCTCTTTACTAAGCTTAACTCTGACCTTCCCAAGGCTCGCATTAAAAACAGAGTGCCTACACCTACTTACATGTCTGTACATCCAAACACCACGCCAGCCCTTCTGGCCATGCTCTGCATCAATACTCTCGGCCAGAAAGCCACCATGTCCTCCAAAAGCCTTCCCCAGCATCCATTTCCCATTTTCCCTAAGTAGAGTGTGGTTCTCTGTGCCTCAACACATGGTAATGCTGCACAGCGTTCAGGCAAGCCTGTCACTTCTCATCTTCCTCACTCACTGCTACCTCCGCCCCGCTTGCAAGCTGTAAGCAATGACTGTACGCTTTCTTTCACTGACGAAAGTATTAAAAACATGGGCTGTGTACAGTTTCACAAAGAATTCCTCCAGAAACTCAACTGCATCATGGCAATTTCTTGAATCCAAATATATTTGATTTTTTTTTAATCACTTTTTGTTATGTAATGCCTCGAATATCTGCAATACCTTCAATCAACCAAACTTTGCACCTCACCAAAACCATAATTTGGCAAGATGTACTAATCCCATTATTCTCTTTTAGTACTCTATTAATTGAAGCTGGCATCAGCTGTGCAATTAGTTTGCCTCAGCTCAGGCCAAAGAGCCTACAACCATTCAGGACACCTCATGTAAATTTTGGGGTTTTTTTAAAAAAATAAATCGTAAAGTATTTGCATCTTTCACTCTTTTGGAGCATCCCAAATATTCCAAAACATGAAGAAAATCATAGTCAGAGTCCTCCTTGTCCAC